CTGACCACTCGCCAAACCGTTTGTCTCGCCATCTGCCAGTACGAACCCGAATGTTGCCGTGGAGTAGCAGGGCAGAAACCGTGCAAGGGGGGTGGTGTAAGCACCATCCGGTCTCGAGAGCGCAAATCATAAATTCGCGCTGTAGCCCCGGAATGAGTAACTAACCCAGGAATCACAGAAAACCAAGATAGCTCACAAGAGGAATACACGGGGGCAGGCAGCCTTGAGGCAAATCTCGATTAGGGTCATGGTATGGTGAAGCATCTGATCGAATGATACCCCGAGACTGGCTATGGTGGCAAGCCGTCGCTGAACGTTGTGTACAGACGACACAACGGTGGGAATGATGTCTACGAGACCTCGCGCTTTGTCACCTTCAGATAGTACCTGTGTGACCAGATACACCTGTAATTGAGACAGCTCCGAATAATTGAGGTGATCGATACTGCCTTCTGTTGTCTGTGCCTCTCCCTCTCGTAAACGTCGTCGACATCAGGGGTTTCACGGGCCTTACCTCGAATATTCTCCGAGGAAGAGCGCAAGCTCTGAGGGAGGCCACTAGATTACGCCCGTTATCCGATATGGCATGCTGAAGACTTTCTTCCTCAAAAAAATGATATACTATGTTGCGTGGCGTGTGATCAGGCAAGGCCATGGTGGAAGGAGGTTGCAGACTGTGCTCCGCGCGGCGTCTTCAACGTAGCGCTCATTACGTAAGCGATCCCTCCTGGACTTACGAATGTATGCTTAGACGGAGGCCCAACCACAGAGTATGCTCTGAAATGAGATAATCATTCCGTTCACAAGACCGGACAATGCCCCCTTTTTCTTAGAAAGATTTAAATATGCCCCAGACATACCATTCTCCTGTTCAGCCACGAGCCTTGAGTGCAGCAGCATGCGCCTGGATGATAGGGTACACCGGACCGTCGGGGTATTCCTGCGCGAGAACGAGGTCAAAACGGTAATCAAGGAAATCTCCTCGCCGGGGACTTACAGCGTAGCCGTCGTTAGGCGTGTCCCCGTTAGACAATTCCGAGCCGGCCTGCCTGGACACCAGACGTTAGCACCTCACTTCTCATAGAGAAGGCGACATACTCACCAGATGAGATCGCCCGTGAGTCCCGAGCTAATGACAGTGCTGTACCAGGTGGTGTAAACACCCGTCTGGTTGTTCGTCACACCGAACTCTTCCATGATGACCGGCTTGTTCGCGCTCTTCTGTGACGTCGCGTGGTCGCTGATCCACTGGCTGCCCCAGACGCTGTCGCTCGGGTCCGAGCTTTGACCCCAGCTATCGGGGTACAGCTACATAGCGAGTCAATTAGTAGAGTGGACAGCGGAACAGGCAGAGCACGTACGTGGAAGGTACCGAAGTCGATGGTCGAGATGTTGAGGTTAACGTTGAAGTCAATGCCCTCTCCGCCCCTGAAGCATGACGTTTTAAAGAATGCATCACTCAAGAAAGATGGAAGAATCGCACTGGTATGGGTAGCTAGGGTTTCCGGGCTCGTTGAAGAAGCCCTCGTCGCCAAGGGCAACAAGGTGGTTCGGGTCGATAGACTTGATGTACGCCGAGATCTCGGAGATCCAGTTGGTAACGGTGGCAGTGGTGCAGGTGCCAGACGTAGTGCTTAGTGCCCTTCGTTAGGCTGGCTTGGAACTAAGTACAACAGCGGCTTACCCTGTGCTGCCCGCACACCTCGGCTCATTGGCGAGCTCCCAGCCAAGAATCGTGGGCTCGTTCACGTAGCGACCGACAAAGGTCTTGATGTAGTTTTTGTAGGCGGCAATGACCTGAGCGTTGGTGTAGAAGAGGTCGTGATCGGCAGAGCCGAGGATCTGCTGGGTGTAAACATCCATACCGCCGTAGTCGGACCAGTTGTTCGTCCTAGCAAGATACGTTAGGGACGCACACTCTGATGCTGGCAAACGTAGTTGATACTCACAAAGCAACAATGAGACGAAGGCCGTTGGCCTTCGCAGTAGAGACAATCGTGTCTAAAAGTCCGACGTCAAACTAAGCTGTATAAATGATGGCAAAATTGCAACTTGCCAAAATTCTCCAGGCCACTCGCGCCCGTGTTCACAGTCGGTGTCGAGCCAGACCAAGACTGGTAATAGATTGGGGAGTTCGCTTGAGTGGATGACGTGACTTCGTTGAAACCCCAAGTGCGGACGGTAGTTGAGCCGGCACCGGCAATATCCTGGAATGCCTTGCTGATGTCCGCGGTACCGTAGCCCATGAGGCCGACCCAGTATGAGTTCTCGCTACATCGCCGCCGCATCAGTACTGGCTCAATGCTCGTCACTAAATACGACGTACCCGACAACAGTGAACTCCTCGCCATTGAGCACGAACTTCTGGCCCGACGTCTTCACGAAGCCCGTCGAGGCGGGCGGGGGAGCGGCAGAAGTCGAGCTGCTGACAACCGAGCTTGAAGCCGACGAGGCCGTATGGGACGATGCGCTGGTGATGGTAGTGCTGGCGGTGGCGCCTGGGATGCACTGGGAGTAGTAGTCGTTCTGTTCGACACATACAGAGCCCGCGGCGCAAGTTGTGCTGCCAGTGTAGTCAATGCCACCGCACTGAAGCTCATGTTAGAAGAGCTGAGTAACTTCGAAGTGTAGTTACCTACCTGGCCCCAAACAGCGACTTGGGCCTGCACCAGCGGAGAAAGAGCGAAAGCCAAAGCGAGGAAGCCTACTTTCAACATCGTACGTCGTTGAGGGCGAAAGAGCGTGGTCAATGGTGGAGACGTTTGCGTCTTTATACGAGCGTCGCGCAATGCCAATAGTCGGTTATTCCTCGCGAAGCGGTATGAAGTCGACAGAACGCGGCTGGCGTGACTGTGCACTTCCACACGTTCTCGTGTCCAGCCTCCAAGCATAGCACTCGGCGACCTGTCACAGCGGCCCGGCCGACGCAATACTACGAGCTCCTGGCTATCTGCTTCCTCGCGGGGGACTGAGGGTGCGGCACAACCATAGCCTCCGAAGTCGAACCACTTGGTGATGCACGCGACCGAGATATTCCGCCGATACCCCGTGAACAGGTCATTCACCGCACGACGCCCTGGCATGTGAGCTCACCGCATCTCGTAGCAGCTTAAATTAGGCTACAGTCTGCGCTAAGTAAAAGCGAAGATAGGTGACGCGAGGGCGAGGGAGCGCACGCGGGGAAAGTCCATGAAGGGCGACCCTGGGTTCGCTTTGCGATAGTTTGGACGGGAATGCTGATCTCTTGGTAGTCGTATGCACGTAGAACTATAGCCAAGTATAATCAAGCCTAGCTGAGTCAAAAGACGGTCGTGCATCGCAGAAGGACAAAGATCGACGTGGTCGGGAGCAAGAGGCAATGCCGGGGCTCTGCTACACTACCGTCCGGCGCTCTCCGAAGCCTTCGTGGCGCGAGTCCGATCTGCACCTTCACCGGTGCCTGGATTCTCTGTGGACGTCTCCTACGGAGCTTTGAGCCTGTGTCTTTAACCCTACACCCTCAAATCTACCCATGATACGAGTCATATGCATAAGATTTGAGCGGCACCGGGTCGACGCCTGAGTGCTGCCAAACGAGCGCCCTCAGAAGGTCGGGACCACCACAAGACGAGAAGGGGAGTTTCAGATATTCAGATTGTCGTACCACAGAGGCCTAGTGTCAAACTGTTACAGGACGGCGACCCGCGCCAGAGGGAAGGAGGAGGGTGCTACAACGAAACAGAGGTGGATGGTATCTGTGAAAAGGTATCCGAACCAGTGCTGATGAAAAGGAGAAGTCGTACTGCACTTGCTACACAATCACGAAATGGAATAATCCTCCCTCTGTCACTCCCTAGAATCCGCCCAAACACCCCTCATCGACGATCATAATGGTGTATTCTCGTAGCGGCACGATCGAGGGCTGCTCGCTAGCTCGCACAAGATGGGGCCGCGACTTCTCGATGTCTGACGAGTCTCGCGGCAGGCCAGCCGTACACGAGAGACTCGGCGACTGCGCAGAGTACACTTGGTGTGCGTCCGAGAGCATATTGGAGGGCTTCAGGTCCGGCGGAGTCAGGACGACGTCCGAGTCGTCCGAGTCGCCCGAATCATCTGAGTCGTCGCAGTCGTATTCGTCCTCGTCCTCGCTCTCCGATGCGTATGAAGCATGCTGCTCAGGGAGCGGCGGCTGTGCAAGGCGTATGGCGCTGTCTGCGAGCGGCTCGGGCTCGCACGCCTCGAACGCGCGGGGATGGAAGTAGCTGCCCTTCACGGTTGCCGCGCGCGTCATGGGATTGCCGCTCCGGCCGCGCACCGGCCGTTCGACCTCGAAATCTATCGGGGGCGAGCGTATCCTGACGGCGTCGCGCGACGGGAGGTCGTACGTCTGCGGGGACACAATGATCGGCTTGCGGTCGTACGTGCGCGGCGAATGTGCCGGGTGCGTCGACTGGACGAGGCACGGTGTCGGCGGGAAGTGCACGTGGGGCGAATGGACGGGATGTCCGCCGCACGCTGGGTACGACGGCGGCAGGATGAACTGTTTCGACTTGGAAGGTTTCAGAATGGGGCGCGGGCGCGAGTGTGGGGACATGTTGGCGTCGGATTCGTCGCGGTTGGGTGGTGAGTGTCTGTGCGAAGAGAATTCGTACCCAAGGAGCGAATCGAGCGGACGAGTGAACTGAAGGTACGAGGGGTCTGCGCGGAAGACGAAAGGCCTGCTGGCGGAAGCCCTGGCAGAATTGACAGACGCGAACGGTATATATATGCGGGATGCGCGCCCACGGGTACTACCAGCTCCACGCCGCACCCTTTCGGAATGTGATTACAAGAAGGGGGACGTTGTCGAGCTGACGCTTTGATTGTGGGTCCCTTAGATCGACTATTATCGGCAGATCACATCAGTATGAGAGAAGCTAGCTTGAAGGCGACAAGTCGCAGCATATTCATATCTCCGAGCTAAAGTACGCACTTAACTCGTTCTGGTGGGAGAATCACGGGTGTCAGCGCCGACGGTTACCACGTCGACATCAATTGGTGAAAAGGCATCTTCCGAGACAACTCGTCTGCTGGTACCACTCTGGTGAGACCGTGCGCAGCGCAACATTAGCACTCGGATTAGGTTAATTACCGTTCATAACCACACTGATGGCGCGGTGTGTGCGTACCGGGTGCTTCATCTGCGGCGGCTCCAAACTGAACTTCAGAAGGGTGGATAGACTTCATGAGAAGAATGCCTGACAGGTCGTATGAACCCTAGAATGCCGACAGCTCGTGGTTGTGTGACGAGAAGCACTTGGACGTGGAGACTTGTGTCGGGCGTATTAAGGATGACATCAAACTCCGCGTCCAGCAGGCGCAATCGATAAGCACGGTTCTCTGCGCAACAAAGCCCCGTGCGCGCACTACCAAACCTCAATCGATATGCGAGATTTTCTGTATACGATACCTAGTAGAGATATGAGCGATGACACAAGAGGATCCAGCTGTGATGAGTGTCTGTGGAGACAAGTGTGTAAGGAAAGGAATGGTGCGTGCGAAAATGACAGGTCACATGGGCTGCTGCGTATCTCAGCTCTGCCAGGGATTGTGCACGTTAAGCGAGCTGGATTCCTTCCTCGAGCCATACCCTCCGAAGCTGGGTGAAGAGGTGTTCCAAGGGTCTGGCGGCTCCGTTCGTAGCGGCGGCGACCGCATAAACGTTATCGATCCGTCTGCACCCTCGAATGAAAGCCCTGACGACTCCGGTGATGGGAACTCAGGGCGGGACAGTGAATTGAACGAACCGAACGCCGTCGGACGCGACGTGCTGAGGGAATCTCGACCAGACGAGCTAAAGTCATTCCCGCCTAACGGTGTCGCACGGTCCGGCTCCGCCGACCAGAATGAGCCATCACCGCTGCTGAAGGTGAGCGATGGAGGTGGCGGCGCACGGAAGGGCTGCGTCGTCAACGGCGTCTTCGCGTCCGATGACGTCAGATTATCTTCACCATCCATTTGGCCACGCAAACTGTTCAAAGACAGCGATCGCGAGAGTGTGGACGAGAGATCGGTGCGAGAGGAGCTCGGACCTGCTACGGGTGCCCCGTGGGAACTCGAAGGTGATCGGGATGCTGGTGGTGACGGCAGAGCTGGTTCCTCTAGTATCGGTGGTGGTGCGGACTCGGTGCGGTGCGTAGGTGGAAATATCGGCGGGACATGGAAATGGCCGGGAGCTGGCATCTTTAGTTCCTCTGGATGATGTTCCGCGTTTCCGACGACCTTCTTGATGGCAGCGAGATTGAAGCCTGCGGTCTTTGGAAGATGTGTCTCGTTAGGCGTCGCAGGGTCGGCATGAGGCTCTTCAGACATAGGAGTGCCAGCCGCAGGCGTGCTAGGCGCGGGTGTTGCTGACGGCACTATGGTGGGGTGGGATGGTTCGCGTGGTGGTAGGTCATCGTCGAAAGTGGACTGCGACGACGTTCTGCGATGATGAGAAGGGAAAGATGTAGCTGAGGGTGGCCGCGACACCGGTCGACCCGTAATGCTCGGCTGCTTTTTCTTCGTGAACCAGCCGCGTTTCTTCGGCTCATCCTCCTCGCGTACCACGATTCTGTCTTCTTCAAAATCAGGTTCCTGAAAGTACACAGGGCACTCGGATGAGCCTGCAGCCACGCGAATAGGACAAAAGACATACCACCGGCTCGTCAAAATAATCCGCCGACACCGGAAAGCCGAGTTGATCCAAGATAAGCGGCATGAATGTCCGGTAGCTCATGTGTCCTGCAATCTTATCGGTCACGTCCACATTCTCCATCCCAGGAACGTTCACCACGGGTCGAAGTCCTGCCACTGTATTGAGACCGCCGCTTGTTGCACGAAACAGGTAGTTAAGGACCCAGTCACTGCGCGCATAGCCATTCACGAAGCGACCTGACACGACGGAGCGCGCTTGTATCCACGTCTTCGTTGGAGCGGTGATTGTTGCGCCAAGTACGAATACGTCCTGGACAATGCCGAACGCTTTCTGCTTTGCAAGCTCAAGCAAAGCATAAAAGATGACTCGGGCACCTAAAGAGAAGCCGATGAGCGTGATGGGGCGTACGCCGAGCTGGCGATTCATGAGGACGTCGGCGAGCACACGGCCCGCCGACTTTGCACGGTCGAGCGCATTGGACCAAGGGTTGTCAATAAGGTATCCGAGCTTGGTCAGAACTGCGATTTACAAATCCCCAGTCAGCTGCGCAGCAAGATCATCTGGGATGAGAGACTAACTGATAGGCCATTGGAGTGCACTCATGAGAGCGGTCATGACTGTAGCTTGGAGAACGGTTTGCCCAATCTGAGTGAGCACCTCGCTGGTCAAAATCTTCAGCGCACTTCCGGTCTCTCGGATCATCTCTGGCTCCCAGAGAACACTGAAAACATCGCCAACGACAGGATCCAATACGCTAAATGGAAGACGAGGATCGTCTTGTGAACCACTCATAAAGCTACAGGTAATCGTAAAATGTTAGCCACAGCGGAGTACAATTGATACATGTGACGCACCCGGGGACAGTGAGGATACAGTTCACCCGCTTGTTGTTATGCAAAGGAAGGATGTCGAATGTCCTGACATATTGCGTCCGTCGAGCCATCCCTCGTGCCGCGATACTAGAACCCGTCAAGACACCTCCAGTCGTAATCACAGCCGCGCCTCCAGCACCAGCTAGAAATCCTGTTGTACCAGTGATACCGACAGTGGCAAAGGCTGCACCCAACCCTGCACCAATAACCGGAGCGAGTAGTCCAGCGGAGAGACCAATGACAAGCCCACCACCTGCATCGTACATTAGGACTGGTTAGTCAACCATATGCTGTGGCACTCACCGAGTGTTGCAAGACCCATCATCATGTATCTCCGCTTCCTTGACTTCTGCTTCACGGCCTCAACCTTCTCCTTCGCCTCGAGCGAATCTATCTCTTCTTGAATATCCAAGGCTTCCGTCACGCGGCGCTCAAACTTGACGACGTCTAACCATCCGAGGCCCAGCCTAAGTGCCACGCTCTCGAGAAGGACACGCGAGCGGGCATCGTACATACTGTCGGCAACGACGATGAGAAAGAGATCGCAGAGCACGGTCCAGCGGATATCGAGCGTCACATTCTCGTCGGCGGCAGAGAGGTGTTTACTCACGCCGGGTATAGATACTGCGGCGCTGTCCTCGAGGACCCTGGTGGTCGTCTGCACAGGCTTCGGTGCCGGCTCGGGAGCTGTGACGCTATCGGGCGTCGGCGTAGTGGATGGCTCAGGGAAGTCGGAGACGTCTTCCGAGTCTCGGTCGGCCTGCTCTGCAGCCTCATGCTCGCGGATCTCGGCCTGCCTTCGTGCTTCTACGGGGTCGTACTCGGGATTGGCGACGGTGTGCGTCGTCATGAGTGCAGGGACGAGGTCTTTGGCCTGTATGCCGTGCTTTGCAAGGATATCAATCATCTTCTGCTCTAGGGGATCCGTTCAGTAAGCGTCACCTAATACAGAGCGAGACACGGGTGTTCACCTTCAGTCGCAAGCTCCATATGATAATATAACCGACCCATTATTTTCAGCGACCATAGCTCCATGCTCTTGATTGCTGGCGCAAGCTCCTTCGCATTCACCGCCTTCAGTTTGTCCACCATCTCTTGCGCAGCTAAAGCGCAGAGGCCGACATACGCTATGCGTTGCGCTTCCGTGAGTAGGTCCTTCGTCGCCTGCATTTGGCTGAGCGGAGTCATGGCTTTGTCTTCGTCGAACAAGTATCGTGTACGCAAGTGGACCTCGTCCGATTCGTCCTCCTCGTTGAGACGTAGCCGAGTGTACTCATTCTCGTTCTGGTCTACCTTAGCCCGCCATTCGTCCCCTCTGTAGTCCACGTCGAGCACATTCCCTGTGGCATTGCTAATCTTTCCGGTATCCTTATTCTCGGGCGGTTTGTAGTGGTATTTCCTCTGGTCCTCCTCGTCTAAGCCATTCGCGATGTCGTCGCCCCGGATGATGGGCATGTCCTGCCAGCCGTCATCGTCATCATCGAAAACGCTAGGCTCAATAGGCGCAATCTTCATGGCCGTCGCCATGGCTATCGGTAAATAAGGAGCGAGTGCAATGTGAATCGATTAGGAGGTGAAGAGCTGTAACATGCAGCCTGGCGTGTGGTAGGTAAGAAAGAAGTATAAGTAACACTTCTTACCACCTGCTAAGGAAGACTATGATGAGCTACTTATTCTGGTAAGCCACGATAAGTATAAAGATAATCCGGCATATAAGCGACTTGAGTATGAAGTAAGGTATGATCATTTATTACTGAACCAACGCTCCAACATGTAATGTGTACCTTTATGCCTCTTATACGTACTATTCGTACTTGCAGGGATCCGAGGACACACGCCAGAAATTCCACGTTCAAGCGCAGCGAAAATGGCTGTAAACAGACGCGTCGAGATCGCTAAGTCCTCACACGAAGTCGCCATATCGTCTATCTTCACCGCTTCCACGTATATCACGCGCAACTTAAACGCTATGAATACATAAATCTCACAAGAAATGCACGTCTACGAAGCCTTTGCTTTGTTACGAGCCTCCTCGCGTTCCTTCACATGTTTCCGGGTCTCTTCCAGCTTCTGAGCCGTCTTCATCTTGCGTTGCCTCTTGCGACGCCCGCTGCCGCGCTTCGGTCCCTCAATAGCAATATCTTCAGCCAGGCGACGTTTCCGGCGAGCAGATTCCTCTTTCCTTTGCTGCTCCCGCTTTTTATCACGCTTTCGCATCGTGGTCATCGAGGCCTTCAGTAGAGTACCATATTGCGCGTGGAACGCATCAAGTTTCCCGGGATTAACCTGTACAGTTGTACAGCGTACGATCAGCGGGTTGCGCAATAATAATAGCAAGGGAGAGCGCACCCGGGTGGAAAAGTTGGTCTCCTTGCCGTCGGTCACGCGAACGAGACAAGGGTATTCGTTGATATCATCGGTGGAATCGGTAAGGGGGATTTGAGCATTGTCCTCATCACGGATTACTGCAGTGCGCACAAACAGAGATGAGATAGACCCCTAGGGATCGTGGTGAATGTCCGTACATCGCTTATGCGTGAGCCATATTGACCCCGAGTCTTTCGAAGTCTCAAACAGTGCAGCTAGCCGTTTGAAAAACTAAGCATGTATGAGTCGATGCGTGTGTATTGATATCACTACTTAACGTACGGTGTCGTTGTCCACTGGCTGCATGGACGCTGTTCGAGACGATGAGCAGGACGCAAGCCATACATGTGGTATTACATAAGCTATCTCTCCCACGATAAGCTCTCGGATTGCTCGGTATAGGCCGGCCGACGGCACGGGACCCCGGTAAATGCTTGAGTTCAATTCCCCTTCATGGCCCACTTACTCATTATCACGCAAGTTTCAAGAAAGAAATTTTGTCTGGCTATCTTTCCGTGGATCCAATTCAAGATGAGACCCACTGCGAACCTATCTTCTCTCTTGCTTTGCACGACATGACCGTCTTCCCCTCACCTGTAGGCGGAGCTTCACTCCTATTGTCTTTCCGACTACAAACGCGTACGGTTATCGTCATTGGATCCGATGCACTTGCTGCGTCTCGAGCATTCTCAGCTCTCGAAGCTGACTCGCAGGTGGTCGTGCTTGCAAAGGGCGGACTGGACGTCGCGTGTGAAGAGCTCAAGTGGAGGGCAGAGCGCAGTGAAGTCCAGGTCATTGACCTCAACTCGCTCCCAGGAACTTCTGCAAGCAGCGATGATCGGGACGCCGTCGCTCTCGACGCCTACCTGTCGAATACTCACGGGGTCGCATTCGTGATTGTCACAGATACTATCCTGGGTACCGACTCCACCCGCCGCAGAAGCTCTGACTCTGCAACGCGCATAGCGCAGGTCTGCAGAGCACGTAGCATTCCCGTCAATGTAACAGATATACCCGACCTCTGCGACTTCTCTTTCACTTCCACTCATCGCTTCTCTGACTCGGAGACCGGTGCTTTGAGTTCCCTCCAGGTCGGCGTCACCACCAATGGTCAAGGCTGTCGACTTGCAGGTCGTATTCGGCGCGATATTGTCACCAAGCTTCCCAAGGAATTAGGAGCTGCCGTGGTAAAAGTCGGTCAGCTGAGAACTCTAGCCAAAGCTTCTACGCCTATCGAAGCAGAGGCCGAGCTAAACGAGGACGAGAGTGTCCCCACGCCGAACCGCCCGGTTCCGCAACGAGCAGTCAACGAAACAGCCGCGGAGGGTGCACGGAGGCGCATGAAATGGGTTGCACAAGTCAGCGAGTACTGGCCTATCTCTCGCCTGGCTAAGATGACGCAGGCCGAGATGGAGGCCACCCTAGACGGCCAAGGCAGGTTGCTAACCAATGGTGACACTCGCGCGCTTTCGCACCATCAACATCATCCCGGAGACAGCGAAGTGAACTCTCTGCATGGTCTGTCTGTAATACCGACTACTCCATCGGGGCGAGTCTTGCTTGTCGGATCGGGACCTGGTCATCCTTCGCTTCTTACGATTGCGACACGGGACGCTCTTACGAAGCACGCGGATCTCGTGCTCTCTGACAAGCTGGTACCGGATGCCGTGCTCGCGCTTATACCCTCGCATGTCGAAGTGCGGATTGCACGCAAGTTTCCAGGAAACGCTGATGGTGCGCAAAACGAGCTCATGGAAGCTGCTGTGGAGGCAGCTAAACAAGGACGTACCGTGGTCCGCGTACGTATACTTTTCTATACGACGTATTCAGCTGCTAATTTTCGCTATAGCTCAAGCAAGGCGACCCCTCAGTGTACGGTCGCGCGGGCGAAGAGGTTCTCTACCTTCGCGCTCACGGCTTCGAACCGATCGTCATTCCTGGCGTGAGCTCCGTACTTGCAGGACCGACGTTTGCAGGGATCCCTATCACACAGCGTGGTGCTGCCGAGTCCTTCGTCGTTTGCACCGGCGTCGGACGGCAGGGCAAGGAAGTCAAGCTGCCGGGTTACGAACGCACTCGCACGCTCGTACTCCTCATGGGCATTGCACGCCTGCCGCAGATTCTCGAGACACTTCAATCCGCGGACCCCATTGTCGCAAGCAGGCGCAACGGTGCCGCGTACCCCACGGGACTGCCTGTCGCGCTTATCGAGAGGGCGTCTATGCCCGACCAACGCGTCATTGTTTCAACACTTCGCCATATCGCAGCCGCCCTTGAGCGTGCAGGCGAGCAACGTCCGCCGGGCATGCTGATCGTCGGATGGTCTGTGCTCTCGCTTTGGGATAAGGGCGACGTCTCCGTGCTGGATGAAGGTGCGGAAGAGCAGGACGAAGAACGCATCAAATGGTGGCTTGGGGACAAGAAGTGGAGGGCTACGGAGGGTCTGGAAGCAGGCTGGGACTCTTTATAGATTTACATAGAATATACCGAGTAACATATATATACAAGCGTGTTGATTTTTGATTTTTGTGTTACTACTGAGAATTGATTTGTGTATTTGTTCTAGCACGCGACTTTGCTCGTTTCATTGAAGACTGAAAGTCAGAGGTAAATTCATGATCTAGCACGTGAAGAGATCCTGCGATACGCGGGTCAGTCAGCTTATTAGACAAAGTAAAGTGTCACACTCACGACGGCAGCTTCTGGCTGGTCAAACGACGCCATGTGCCTGCCACAGCGATACCATTAGTCCGTGTAGAGCTCGAAAGTGCAACATGCGCACCCTGCTCTGTATATTTGGACGAATCTAACTTTTCCGGCACCAAACTTGCCCCCACCAGCGCTGCGAACTTCGCCTGCTACACGTCTCGACGTGAGCATCGTCCAAAGTTCGGGCTCGCTCGCTTCGGACTCTGCGTGGAGCCGGTTCGGGAGCTTCGATACCCACACTTTGCTGCCCTGTGCCACAGACCATGATGAATCCTGCGAGCAAGCAAACCTCAGACCAACACATACCATGTGATTGCAACCTATGTCTCCGTTTCCAGCGTAAATAAGCAGCCGCATGCCGCCGTCGACCAGCTCGGGCAACAGCGCGGTGCTATTTCGCATGCTGCCACCGCGCACGATTGAGGTATCCATTTACTTTGTCGCTGCAGGACTCTAGGTGCGCGCTTGACCTCAGACTTACCCATCTAGGTCGCACTTTACACTATCTTGGTATAGCAGAGGTCTCCGTTAGCCTCTGGTTCGCCGGCTTTTCGATAGTTAGATCATGTGCACGGGGATCGAAGTGCGAGAATACTCGCCATTTCTTGTGAAGATTGGATGGATTTAGGTCGAGTTTTGGAGCGAATGCTTGGTAACGAGTCGAAACGAGATCAGAAAGCATACTTTGCAGAGGGGGATAACTGTACAGCGCGTCGAAGCAATAGTGTTGAAGCGCCTAGTGGCTCTGGCTCGGCGTACCGCCCGGCATGGACTTAAGGTGGACTCCTTAGATTAGGTGCTGCTAATACGTAAATAGTGATTGGACAATCATATGTAGTGCTCCCACGCACGGACCTCTTTATGGCAGGCTTCCCCATTCTAGCGGACTTTCAATTTGTTTCCTTTTTAGTATATAAGGACTCCTCTCGCATCCCCACTCTGCGTGCTCTTTCCCTTCGCACCCAGAGTAAGTCCCTTCGTCGCCCTTGCGCAATATGCACTCATGCTGATGCCCTGTATAGACTAATCCCCCGTGTGTATTAGGTTAGAACTATACAGTGTGCTCTTTCCCATCGCACCTAGAACTAATCCCCTGTGTGTATTAGATCGTGCCCACGTGCCACTTGCCAGTTCGCGCTCGTGCGGCCCAGTCGTCGTATCACGACAATAAATAGCTCTGCGCAGGACTACAAACAATTGGTGAGTCGAATGCTTAGCACATGCCGATCAGTCTCTGGCAGGTCTAAGCCTTAGGGCCTATCTCCTGGTGAACATGCAAGTTGAGGCTCAACTGTTGACATTGTGGTGACGGATAGCAAATGCAGTGCGCGGCGGGTATATTGTCGTGATACGACGACTGGGCTGCGCGAGCGTGAACTGGCGAGTGGCACGCAGGCACGATCTAATACACACGGGGGATTAGTCTGAGTGCGAAGGGAAAGAGCACACTGTATAGATCTAACCTAATACACACGGGGGATTAGCTATACAGGGCGTAAGCATAAGTGCATACTGTGCAAGGGCGACGGAGGGACTTACTCTGAGTGCGAAGGGAAAGAGCACGCAGAGTGGGGATGCGAGAGGAGTCCTTATATACTAAAAAGGAAGCAAAATTGAAAGTCCGCTAGAATGGGGAAGCCTGCCATAAAGAGGTTCGTGCGTGGGAGCACTACATATGATTGTCCAATCACTATCTACGTATTAGCAGCGCCTAATCTAATATGTCCACCTTAAGTCCATGCCAGGCGG